AATTGTGAATGAACAAATTACTTTTAAGTTTAAATAGATACAACCTCAAATACTAAGCCTAAAAAATTCAATATCCTCGAACTTTGACTAAATTTGGATAAGATATATTTCTCTTTTTCCATACATTTTCTTTTTCGAATTCAAGGTAGAATATTTGTCAATTAGAAAAACACCAACAACTTTAATCACTGAAAACTTCACATTATATCACGTGAATGAGATGTGAAGCAACAGGTGCCGGCCCACTTCCCTTTCCTATACCTCAACTGGCTAGACTCTAGAGGCAGCTTTATTTTGGCAGAGGATTACCTTGTTTGCTGCCCTTTTGGGTGTGGTTCTCGGTCTTAATCTGTTCTAGTGAATCAGCAAGACACAGTGAGGGGTAAAAGGCACTTGTAGAGCCATCCTGCTTGTTTATTTGGCAACGAGGGGGCTGTGGGTTACGAGTCCAAAATAAACACAAGAAAAGTGTAAAGACAGAAACCTTACTTTTTATTTAGTGACTGCAAAATAAATATATTATAGGCGTAAGGTGTCCAGAATTATAATAATGATGTACAATAATGATAATGATTAATAATAATGATAATAATAATAATTTATGTTCAAAAGAAAAAAAAATGCATATTAAGTTATGACAAACGTTGTAGTTTATTGACTGATTCGGTAGACGGGAATTTCTCGTAAAAAATTAGTTTATATACATAATATTACTTTACCGAACTGTTGTTTTCAGACTAAAAACCGACGTTACCATAATAGAAAGTTTTTTTTAATTTTTTAGAGACACATCCTTTGTTACGAATACATAAATAATTATTATGAAACATGGCGTAGTGGTTTATTGAATATTATCTACGTGAAACGAATAAATAAGTTAATAGATGAATAAGCTGCTATACATTCATGTTAAATTGTTCTCTTGTTGTGATATGACATGTTGTAGGCTTCTTATAATACGTTCTTATAAATAATCAATGGGGAAGGAAAAGATCTGAGTTATAAGCATTTGGTTATAAGGAAAAGGATGCTTGTGTATCTTACTTATTCCATCAGGGATAATTAATTCTTCCCCCATTCATGAGCATTGCTTCCTCTTAACAGTTGTTGATCTAAAACGATACGAGATTCTACGACTATTGTTTATTGCAACAAACTAAATTTTAATAAAGAAAAAATCATGTTTTAGAATTTGTTGGTTCATGGAGATCGTGATAATGGCATTCAATCTGAAATTTCATGATCCATCAAAATTTAGTATTTTGTTCTGTAATCCTTTTCACATTAAAGTTAACCAATTCAGACTAATAAATAATACCCAATTCGTTATTTTCTACGTATCGATATGCTATATCTATTATGTACTTCCAGACCTAGCACCACTCCATCATGTGTGACGACGACGTGAGTCCCCTGGTTGTGGACAATGGCTCCGGCATGGTCAAGGCTGGCTTCGCCGGCGACGACGCTCCCCGCGCCGTATTCCCCTCCATCGTCGGCCGTCCTCGTCACCAGGGTGTGATGGTCGGTATGGGTCAGAAGGACGCCTACGTCGGTGACGAGGCCCAGAGCAAGAGAGGTATCCTGACTCTCAAGTACCCCATCGAGCACGGCATCATCACCAACTGGGACGACATGGAGAAGATCTGGCATCACTCCTTCTACAACGAACTGCGTGTTGCCCCTGAGGAGTCCCCCGTCCTCCTCACTGAGGCTCCCCTCAACCCCAAGGCCAACCGCGAGAAGATGACCCAGATCATGTTTGAGACCTTTGCTACACCCGCCATGTACGTGGCCATCCAGGCCGTGCTGTCCCTGTACGCCTCTGGTCGTACCACTGGTATCGTGCTCGATACCGGAGACGGTGTCACCCACACCGTCCCCATCTACGAAGGTTATTGTCTCCCCCACGCTATCCTTCGTCTTGACCTGGCTGGCCGTGACTTGACTGCCTACCTTACAAAGATCATGACAGAGCGTGGTTATTCCTTCACCACCACGGCTGAGCGAGAAATCGTTCGTGACATCAAGGAGAAACTTTGCTATGTCGCCCTCGACTTCGAGAATGAGATGAACATTGCTGCTGCTTCAGCATCCCTTGAGAAGTCCTACGAGCTTCCCGACGGTCAGGTCATCACCATCGGCAATGAACGTTTCCGTTGCCCCGAGTCTCTGTTCCAACCTTCCTTCCTGGGTATGGAATCTGTTGGTATCCACGAGACCGTCTACAACTCCATCATGAGGTGCGACATTGATATCAGGAAGGACCTGTTCGCCAACAACGTTCTTTCTGGTGGTACCACCATGTACCCTGGTATTGCTGACCGCATGCAGAAGGAAATCACTGCTCTGGCTCCTGCTACCATCAAGATCAAGATCATTGCTCCTCCCGAGCGTAAGTACTCCGTATGGATCGGTGGCTCCATCCTGGCCTCTCTGTCCACCTTCCAGTCCATGTGGATCACCAAGGAGGAGTACGACGAGTCCGGCCCCGGCATTGTCCACCGCAAGTGCTTCTAAGAAGTGCATTCTATTTTGTTCAATATGGCGATATGAATCAAACTCACTTTTGTATGATAGTCTGTATATCATTATATTTTTTACTCATAACATTACTGCTACATAGTACTGGGGAAGAAACACTTAAGTTGCGGGAAACGAATACATCAAAGTACGACAGGTCTTAACATTCAACAAACTTTTTACGAATAAAATATGATTGATATGTTTAGAAGACTCTCATTCCTTTAAACCATAATCATCACAGTTATTATCTTCTTTATATATATATCTTGTCTGTCTGTCTGTCTGTCTATCTGTGTATTTAAGGATGGATAATATTAGTGGCGGAAACAAGAGTGAGGGAGGGGAACAACTATGTGTGAGTGAAATATTGGGATGTAAATAAGAGATGAGTCAACTGTTGTATGCAGATGGCACTGTTGTGGT